GGCCGTCGGTCTAACCGGTCCGCCCTAGGTATGTTGGCCTACAGCACAAAGCAGGACCCGCCTCAACCCAACCCAGTCCAACAACCATGTGCACATAAACATATAACATATAACCATTCACAACTAATCAACCGATCTAACAGATCACATAGCGTAGCAACATCCTAACCAAGATACTGACCTAACCGGTCACTAACATATACCATCCTACATACCAGGATATCAACATAGCAAAGCAATAACATATCACGACTACAACCCGGATCACAATCCGAATAAGGGCCGACCTTGGTGCCTTAGACCTTGTTGATATAGTGAGGATAACTCCCCTCGCAACTGTTGACTGAAAAGATAATATCACACTGCTCCAACCTCCCACATGAACTCCACCATTGAGAATACCAAAAGATTGAACTCAATAAATACCAATAATGACCAAAATACCCTTTGAAGTCAACTGGTCAACTCTTGGTCAAAGTCAAAGTCCTCAGTCAAGGTCAAACTTCCTGACTGACTTTACTCGTCGAGTCATCCCGCTGACTCGTCGAGTCCCCATGCTCTGAAAACTCCCATATCGCGACCCAACTCACCGAGTCGCCCCAAGACTCACCGAGTCCCACGAACTCTGAGTCACCTCCAGCTCAACTCACCGAGTCGTCCCTCGACTCACCGATTCACAGCTTATCCAAAATGGTTAGGACTTCGCGACCAAACTCGCCGAGTCCAAGGCCACCTTCAACAGACTTGCCAAGTTGTTCTTCCAACTCGTCGAGTCCCTGCCTATCTTCATCCAACTCGCCAAGTACACCCATATGACTCGCCGAGTACCTCTAGTTCTTAATCCATACAGTGGCTTTCCAAGCCATGCAGGGGCTCCAATCCATAGATCTACTCTTCCACAAGCTATTCCTCACGTAAAGTTGCAAACTTTACGTGAATCCAAAGAGATCTAAGCATAAAACACTCTTGGGCTAGGGTTTGGGACAAGAAGGCTTCACTAACAACTCTTGGGCATGAACTTTAGGGCTTCCTGGACCATTACAATCCTAGATTTGAGGTAGCAACCTCAGATCTTACACCAAACTTGAGATGGACCTCATTTATGCTCCAAAAACCCCACAATTGATAAATCTAGATGCATAAAAGCTCAAGAACAGATCTCTTACCTCCAATGCAAGCTCCTACTAGAGAATGAACCAAATCTCTGCAAAGCCCCTTGCTCCAAATCTTCTTGTTCTTCAATTCCCCTTCAAGATTTCCTCCTCCAAGGCTCTAATTACTCACAAAGGAAAGCTCACACGAATCTAGGGCTTCTGGAACTCAAAGGGAAGGTAAAGAGGCTGGGGAGAGGGTATTATGTTCTTTATATAGGGCTCAACCTCCGGGATTAGGGTTTTCTCCACACAGCACCAACTCACCGAGTCCACCCATGTGACTCGCCGAGTTGGTCACTTAACACGCAACCCGTATCGCAACTCGACTTGCCGAATCCATCCATCGACTCGCCGAGTCGACCTTTTTATTTACACCTTTATCCCTTCCACTTTACTTCTGAATTCTGGGATGTTACATTTTAGCCCTCAATTGTATACGCCCTATGTACCCTTACGTACGCCCCACGTACACAAGACTCATTCGTGATCCTTCTCCTAGAGTACGCTAAGCGTACCCTTAGGTACGCCCAACATACGAGAGGGACCATTTTTGCTAATTAATTCATTTTCAAGGGTTTCAAAGATGTACCTGATTTGGAGTGTTACAAATATAGTCTAGATTTTACTAGATACATGGAAATTGGTATAGTTATGTTTACCTGTGTATAAAGAAATATAATTTCATAAATACTATCCAATGAAGGCAAAATGAAGAAAAATGTGAAACGAAATTCAATATTATTAAATGTGGTATTTAAGGGCAACTCAACATATTCATCAAATTAAATTCTCCTTTTTCATAAAGTTTGATTTTGGGAATGGAAATCTTCCCCATTAGTTGTAGGATTATCCACAGAATTAGACAGGTTAAAACAAAATATTGCTTTGTGTCAACTACAACCTGGTCATGACAGATGGACATGCTTGCTAACGCCAGAAGGAAGTTTCACAGTGGATGCAATCAGAAGGAGACTAGACAAAGCTGCACAACACTCTTTCAATCTTCCATTGATTAGTTGGTACAAGGTTATCCCAATAAAGGTGCTTTGCTTTGTTTGGAGGGTTGTACAAGGACACATTCCATCTGCTACAATATTACAATCACGTGGCATGAATATCGACTCGACACTATGTGGAACTTGTATTAGTGAAGTTGAGTGTGTTGATCATATTCTTATGAGATGCTCATACCCAAGACTTATAATGAACAAGATCTTTGAATGGTGTGGATTAAACAAAGAAGAATTCAATGATGTTGGTGAACGACTTCATTTTGCAGCCTCATAGCGTAGATGCCCTAAAAAGCGCATTAAACTACTATGTATCTACAGTCTGCTATGTAATCTTTGGAGGACGATGAATGACAAATTATTTAGAGGAGTATCTACTACAATTTGTAGAGGCACTGAAAACATCAAAGCGTTGACATATTTATGACTCAAATGTAGGGGCAATGGTTGAGTTGGTAATTGGATACATTTGGATTCCTCCCTTCTTTCCCCATGTAATAAACTAAAAACTATGTTCGTTCTTCTTTGCACTTGCCTAATCACTTGCTAACCATTATAATTTTTTAATATATTTTACCGTTTCTAAAAAAGATTATGATGGTTATTAATGAGTTCTATTTTTCCAAAGTCAATATTCAATTTAAATCAAATTTTTTTGGTTATAATATATGCATGTTTGTCCATGGGACCTAACCATGTTAGAATTTTTTAATATATTTTTCGGTTTCTAAAAAAATTATAATGGTTATTAATGAGTTCTATTTTTTCAAAGTCAATATTCAATTTAAATCAATTTTTTTTGGTTATAATATATGCATGTTTGTCCATGGGGCCTAACCATGTGGGTTTCGTTAGCTGAATGTCAATTGCCAATCTGCCATGGTCATAAAAACATGTATTTTGAATAGACAAAACCTAAACTTCTATATATCAGATTTAGGATGGAGAAAAAAATAACCATGAAACCAATGCTATATGTATAATCAATGTTTCGTTTAAAAAACAATTAAACAACTAGTTAGGTTCAAAATAAAATTACTAATTTTCATTATATAAAAGAGTCATGCATATAATCATGACATAAATGTTCATAAAAATAATTAAATTTGACATTTACATTGCATTGAACTTCCATAGTCATAGAATTTAATAGATTAACAAATCATCATTTTATATTTCATACAAATTTATCAAAATTTAAAAAAGTTGGTTTTTTTTCTTCAAAATCACGTAAACAGTTGGTTAGTTTAGTTAATTTCGCTTTATTTCCTAAACAGTTTGTCTGCTCCGTTCTTGACTCGACATACTCGGCATGCAAGTAAACTGGTTTGAGTTGACCTTAAACGATTTTGTGTTATTTTTGGTTGAGCCACGTAACAAATATATCAAAGTGTATTCTTGGTTCCAAGTATGCATCGTTCTAACACATGATACGACTAACCAGTTCTTTTAAGATCAATGGGATCTCCCTTGTCTCTCAGTCTCAGTTGCAATACTTGTACATGAAAGGCAGTGAAATACCATGAAATAGAAAGAGCATGCTATTGAAGACGTTGCAAGATATGTCGGGGAGGCCTCCGTTGATTGTGTACGAACAAAATACGAGTCCAAAGGCAAGGTAAGAATAAGAAAGGGAATGGTTGAAGAGTCAAATGGTTTGGCAATTCCTCATGGGGGGATGAATCGAGAGAATTTTGAATTAGAACAAACAGGCTTTCCGCAATTGCTGCCGAAATGGGGCAACTGCAAAATGAGATTGAAGAGCGCCGTAGAGCGCTAAACCTCTTTTTTAGGAGTGTTTGATTTGGCTAACATCCTTCGATGACAAGCCGACCGAAGGAAGACGCACCGGGAGCCTACTTCTCGCAATATGAGATTGAATGCCATAATTCTTATTTGTATTTTACTTCTTATTGGTGCTGCTGGGAAATCTGCACAGATAGGAGCAGAAGCGGAGACAGAGTTGTCCCCCGATCTGAGATATTAGCGAGATTAGCTACGCCGAAATGGAAGTTACTTTCCGGTCACCGACTCTTTAATGATCCAAATACTTATAAAAAAACAATAACAGTCAAGAAATGCATTAGTAGAATGTTTAATATTACTGGTGTAGTCATTTGTATATATTAAACATAATTAGAAACAAAAAGTTAAAAAATATTGGATGAACTAATATAATATTATATAAAAAATATCAATCCAATCACTTTATTGTTGTAACTAACATATTAATATTAGAATAATTTCTAAATGTGTTAAATCCGTCTCAAAAGAGATTCTAAATGTGTTAAGTAATATAAACATAAATATAATACAATATAATAATAATAATAATAATAATAAATTTATTGGTGCAGATAAGCGTAGTGGGTGGTATATACATCGAATGAGTCGTAAGATTCCACAACACAACGACAAGTTTTCTTGTTTTTTACATTGTATCTCCCCCACAATTCTATTGCATCACCAAAATATGGTGATTAAAACCCTCTAATTTCCTCCATTTTTGCACTCTTTAAGCAATCACTTTCTACAAAAATGAGTCTTCTTTTAAATACCACAAGTTTGTTCTATGGAGCACCCATTAGAACCAGATCTACAACGTTGCACTGCGAGACCCGAATGTTTCGACCCGTTTCTTCATCTTCATTCTCTTCTGTTTCTGCAATTTTGACCAAGGAACAGCAATCAAACCTGCCGGAAAACAAAATCGGAGAAACCCATTTGAAATTGGCGTTTGATTTCAAGTCTTACATGTTGGAGAAAGCTAATTTGGTAAATCAAGCCCCTAGATTCAGCTGTTCCACTCAAACACCCGGAAAAGATCCACGAATCTATGCGGTACTCCCTTCTCGCCGGCGGAAAACGCGTCCGACCGATGCTGTGTATCGCCGCTTGCGAACTCGTCGGAGGCGACCCGTTAACGGCTATGCCAGCTGCCTGCGCTGTCGAGATGATTCACACCATGTCGCTAATGCACGACGACTTACCCTGCATGGATAACGACGACTTCCGCCGGGGAAAGCCCACCAACCACATAGTATACGGCGAGGACGTCGCCGTCCTCGCCGGCGACGCCTTACTTTCGTTCTCATTCGAACACATCGCTACGGCGACAGAAGGCGTCTCCTCCGACCGGATTCTCAGGGCCATCGGCGAGCTCGCGAAGTGTATTGGCTCAGAAGGTCTTGTCGCCGGTCAGGTTGTTGATATCTGTTCCGAAGGCGCCGATGTCGGATTAGACCATTTAGAGTTTATCCATTTACACAAGACGGCGGCTTTGCTTGAAGGATCCGTCGTCCTCGGTGCCATTATGGGTGGCGGATCTGATGAAGAAATTGAAAAATTAAGGAAATTTGCGAGATCAATTGGGCTTTTGTTTCAGGTGGTGGATGATATTCTTGATGTCACAAAGTCGTCAGAGGAATTGGGCAAAACCGCCGGAAAAGATTTGGTGGCAGATAAGACTACATATCCGAAATTGTTGGGGATTGAAAAATCAAGAGAATTTGCAGAGAAATTGAATAAGGAGGCTCAAGAACAGTTGTTAGAGTTCGATCAACTAAAGGCAGCTCCTTTAATTGCTCTTGCTAATTATATTGCTTATAGAGAAAATTGATCTTTCTCATTTTATAATTATAATGTTTTTTGGTCCCAAAATTGCATACAATATTCAAAAATTAAGGTTTTTCTTTTTCACAGTTTATAAATGATCACCATTCGCTACATGCAACTACAAGAAAGAAAGAAAAATGAATATAATGTTTTTTATTTTTTTTTATTTTTTAATGTATATATAAAAAAGGAAATAAAGGGTTTGACCGATGAGTTGACTTAGGGACATAATGTGTTCGGAAACTCGTTTCTCATGTAACTCATCGGGTTTATCGAGCAATATGAATACCAAATCAAATCGTGACAGGAAAACATTTAAGGAAAAAAAACATAATACTTTAGATGTGTGATTTTATTTAGTTAAACATCTTGCATAGCATTAAAGAAAAAAACAAGAGAGAGAAAGTGAGTTACATATTTAGTTTTTAGTCCCTGAGGATTGTTGATTCTATCAATTTTGGTCGCAATATGTTTTTTTTTTTTTTTTTTTTTTTTGTAAATTTTGACCAAATTTGCAAAAATTAGTTGTACTCAAGGACCAAAAATATTCATTTAATTTGAGAAAGGACCAAAAGCATTACAAGAACATTAAAACTACAACAAAAGCTTTTTGGGACGAAACCTGAAAATATAAAATATTATCAGGGACTAAAACTGTAACTTACTAATAATAATTTAAAAAAAAAGACACACCAGCCTCAGAGAATAGGAACCTTATTCTGATATATTGAATTCTTTCTTACACCTCCAAACAATGCCAACGTAATTCCAGCTGTAAAAACAAAATATAATAATCAATTATCAATGGCCTTGGTGGTAATTTTTTATTTTTATGTACCTTTAACAAGTTTATGTCCATAGATGGAGGGGCAAATTGATTGAAGTATTTGTTGTAACACATGTGAACCATGCTCTAAAGAAAATTTACAAACAAATTTTAAATCCTTTTGACTGAAAGGACATAAATCTCTGAAAATTTATGAACAAATTCTAAACCCCTTTGACTGAAAGAATATAAATCCTTTTATTGTTTTTTGTTACTTTTAGATTGAATTATATCATGCATTATTACGTGTTCGTAAAGAATGGAGTTAAAGTGGACGAGGAGTTTGACCCATTTGATTGGTCTCTAATCAATATCAAATGATTTAAACACCATTTGATTGATATTTTATATTTTAATAGTTATTTAAGTTTATTCTAAAAGAAAATTACCAAATGGCTTATAGTCTAGCGGTATCCGGTGTTGTACTCTTTGAAGCTAAGAGTTCAAGTTTCATTGTGAACATATGTGAATTTAATGTCTAGTTTAGGAGTATATTAGATTTTCCGTATCTTTTTGCACATTCACAACTTCATCTTGTTCAATTCTATATAAAAAAAATCAAATAATATTAGTATTAAAAGGAAAAGATATCAAATTTACAATCATTAAAATAATAAACGATAAACAATTACCTTTGTCAATTTGTTAATTTTCTTCCTAATCTTTTTCATAATCGATTGTCACTTATGCTACCCCGAATCCAATCTGTGTACAAATTAAACTTTCGACAATCTTAGGAGTCAAAGAACTCTTAAAGAGATCCAAAACCATCCCACTAGTGCTAAAAACAGATTCCAAATCTAACGTTGAGATGGGAATGACGAACACATCTCTAGTCATCAATGATAGAATCAAGAATCTTGGATTATTCACTTTCCACTAATCTAGAATATTAAACATTTCTGAGTTGTCTTCAACACTTTATTGCAAATACTTTTCTGACTCTGCAATTGATTCAACTATGTTTATCTTCATCTTTTCTCTTAGTTTATTTCTCAATAGGGGGTTAGGTGCCATAAAATCCGGGTTTTAGCGTTTCCCTAATATCAATGATGAAATGGTAGACTCGAGAGTACTTGAAGTAGAACTTGGAGAATGAATTTTAATATAATAATTTTGTAATTCATAGATAGAATCCATGATATATTTCTTTTTTGCCTCCACCCCCTTTTCTCCATAACGATCCCCAAGTAGTATAACAAAATACTTTACTTTGTTCTTCGGTTTAAGAATCAAAGTAGAGTAGAGTAATAAATTCATTTTTTCTATGTCGCCAAAATACTTATCAAACTTTATTTTCATGGCAAATGCAATATCAAAAAGACTAGAATCAGAAATAACATCATCCAAGAGCGTACGAATGAAATATATATTCAATGGACGTTTCGATGTCACATAAAGTGTCCTGAAAATCCTCAAAGTAACATCATGAAAAGGTTTTAAAAATAGCATACATTCCTAACCCTTTCCTAATCGCTTAATGAAGGTATCAATAAACCCGCCTTTTCAATTTCGTACTGAAAATCAAATTCCTCAAGATCATATCTCTCAAAAGTTTTTTTGTAAGCTTGGGTAATTTCCAACATACGGTACGTAGAGTTCCATCTTGTTGGCACATCTCTCTTCAAGTGTTTTGTTATACCGGGATGAGCAACCTTAGAAAATTCAATAAAGTTATGAATTCTAGAAGGCGATTGACTAATCCATTTAACCGCCCATCGAACTATTTCAACCGCTTTATCAACTTTTTTGTGCCATCTTGCCCCACTAAATTTAAAATGTGGGCAACATATCGAATATGCATCCATTTACCATTTAGAAGACAGTTGTTGGAGTTTTGGAATTTTTTTTATCAAGAAGTCAATTGTCACATCATTTGTACTTGCATTGTCAACATAATTGTGAAAAATTTTCTATCTCCCACTCCATTAAACATTTCTCAACCATTTTCCAATATCAACCATACGATGACTCTCTTGAGAAGAAAAACACAACATTTTTTTTTTCAATTTCCATTCGTTCTCAATAAAGTGGGCGGTGAGACACATATAACATGATTGTTGTTTAGAAGTCCACGTTTCGGTGGTCAAACATATTCTACCAACATTTTTTTTAATAAAGTCACGGATTTTTTTCTTTTTCATCTAGAAACAATTGGTAGACATCCGTTGTGCTTGTACTTCTATATAGAATTTTAAACAATGGTTGAGTAACACTATTGTAATACCTAAAGCATGCACCTTATACAAAGTTAAAAGGAAGTTCGTCAACTACCAACATGTGGGCTAGAGCCTTCCGACTCTCATTTTGATCAAATTTCCAAGTTGACAATTTGTATTCATCACCATATTGGAAAGCTAGTTGTTTTTTCCCACAACTAAGTTTAACCAAATACGCTTTACATTTAGTTAAATGATAACATAGATTTTTTGTCTCATACCCACCAAATTCGCACTTGTAATTCCTGCCACCCCAATGCTTACATTTGCATCTTTGAACACTCTTTTCGTCCTTATACCTTTCAAATTCTTTCCAGAGTTTCGATCTTGGGTTGAATTAATTTTTTTTTTCTATTTTTCTTGTGGAACTTGATCATTGGTTTGGTTTTCAACTTTAATCGTCTCATCTTCCACTTCAATGTAATCATCTATTTTTGACATCTAAAAAAAACAGAAAAATTGTTAAAAAAACAGAAAAATTAGGGAAAAAACATGCAAAAAAAATGGTAAACAGGAAAAGCCAGAAAAACTATTACAGAATCTACCATAATAAATAAAGATCTTTTTAACACATGTTATATTCTTATTCATTTTGTCACATATAATTTTATGGTTATTTTAAATTAATTTTTATTCCACATGTTATTTTATGGTTTATTCTATTTTATTAAGTTTCCTATATTATTTAAATCTAATAATAAATGCATATAAATTTCATTAATGGATTTTCTTTCTAATTTCAAAATTACTAAATTTAAGTTCATTAATTTCCTTTATTTATTTATCTAAATTATTTGTTCAAATTGAAAAGAGAAAAAAAAAACACTTTAATTTTTATAATTCAATATTTTTCTTATTTTTCTTATAAATTCAAACTTCTTAAATATTTTGAATTTTATATTTATATTTTCTTTCAAATGAACTCATATAATACATGAGTCTCACACCTAGTCAATGAATATTTCCAACATGAACTATAATTTCAAATACCATTGGGTCAAAGTCCTACATACCTTAATGGGAAAATGATAAAGAAAAGTTCAAAGTATATTCCTAGTAACAAGATTCCAATAATCCCCAAGACTCATGGTGAAAAGTTAAGGTCTGGAAAATTAAATTTGGACTAGAAAGTATAAAAAACAAGAAAATTTTGTTGAAGCAAAGTTACATATTTTTTCTACAATTACTTTATGTGATTGTATTTCTTGAAGGTATTTCAATTTTACCAAAGACCAACACTTTCTTTTACAAAACACTAGTATTTAGCTATATCTCTAGTCTACTAGCTACTAAGCCTATATGTTTTTATTCAGAAACTTCTGAAATCATAAAGGTTCGTAATTTAAGTCGAAAGTATGCCCTTCCCAACATAAATGCAACAAGAGTTTTGTCAAAAGGAAAACAAAAGCAATCGCAATTTTGAAATCGTAACAGTTTCTCTATATTAGAAGTTTTTCATTTAGAGAACAAAAACAATCTCAATTCTCAAAACCTACTCCATAAGTGGAAGTTGTTGAATGTATATTACAACATGACAAATGTTTCTTAAAAGAATCCTGAACAAGATTACGTTGAGAAAATAGAAAGAAGATATTGAATCTGAATCTTTAATATGTGGTTATTTCTAATTTTCTATGTCAAAAAGAGTATCAAATGGTTGTTGTCACTTACATTCAAGCTTGAAGTCCAAATTCGTGATTGTTGCCTCGTTGGTGGTGAGTGGTGACGAGTTGATGATTGCGACGCTACGACGAGCAACGACCACCTGATGACCGACGAGGCGGCGACGAGCCGACGACCAACTAATGACCGACGAAGAGGCAGCGACGACTAGCTGATTCATCGGTAACGAACAAACGATGAGCGGACGAGGGTTTTTTTAATGTAAATAAAATAGAACGAAGGGAATTGGGATTTGGGACGGATAAACTCATAAAGGGTTAATTGGTTTTTACAATT